CCCCACTTTCACATGCATCCTGCAGCAGTGCTGCACCTCGACCTTGTACACATCCTGCCACAGCATGGGGCTGCAACTTTCGCATGCATCCTGCAGCAGTGCTGCACCCCATCCTTGCACACATCCTGCAATGGCGCTGCACCCCCACTTTCGCATGCATCCTGCCACAGTGCTGCACCCTGGGCTTGCACGCATCCTGCAGTGATGCTGGGCCCCAACTTTTCCCCACAGCTGCATGCAGCCTGCAGTGGGGCTGCACCCCACGGGTACATGTATCCACCACAGTGCTGTGTCCCATAGCCTACACCCCACGGCCTGCCCCACAACCATATGCATCCTGCGATGCTGCTGCACCCCACGGCCATGCACAGACTGCAGTGGTGCTGCACCCCATGGCTGCACGCATCCTGCCATGGTGCGGTGCCCCATAGCCTGCACCCCACGACCTGCCCCACGACCACACGCATCCTGCAGGGGTGCTGTGCCGTGGCCTTGCGCACTATAGCTGCACGCACCCTGCAACAGCGCAGCTCCCGAGCCTTGCATGCATCCTGCAATGGTGCTGGGCCCCAGCCTTGCACCCTATGGCCACATGCATCCTGCAACAGCACTGTTCCGCAGCCTTGCACATATCCTGCAGTGGTGCTGAGCATAAGACCCTATAGCTGCACACACCCTGCAATGGTGCTGCTCCCCGGCCTTGCACATATCCTGCAACAGCATGGGGCCCTAAGTTTTGCATGCATCCCACAGCAGCGCTGCACCCTGGGCTCGCATGTATCCTGCAATGGTGCTGGGTCCCAATTTCTGCTTGCATCCTGCAGTGGTGCTGCACCCCGTCCTTGCACACATCCAGCAATGCTGCTGCACCCCCACTTTCGCATGCATCCTGCAGCGGTGCTGCACCCCGGCCTTGCACACAGCCTGCAGTCATGCTGGGTCCCAACTTTCGCATGCCATCCTGCAGGGGTGCCGCGCCCCGGCCTTGCACACATCCTGCCATGGTGTTGGGCCCCAACTTTTGCATGCATCCTGCAGCAGTGTTGCACCCCAGCCTTGCACACATCCTGCAACAGCATGGGGTGCAACTTTTGCATGCTCCTGTAGCAGTGCTGCACTCCAGGCTTGCATGTATCCTACAATGGCACTAGGCCCCAACTTTTGCATGCATCCTGCAGCGGTGCTGCACCCCGGCCTTGCACACATCCTGCAATGGTGCTGCACCCCCACTTTCACATGCATCCTGCAGCAGTGCTGCACCCATCCTTGCACACATCCTGCAATGGCACTGGACCCCCACTTTCACGTGCATCCTGCAGCGGTGCTGCCCCCCATCCCCGAGCCGCGTCCTCACACCTCCTACCTCCACGAGCTCCTCCGTCCACACCTTCCTGTCCATCTTGAGGCTGCGCCCCTTGGGC